TAGGTACCGCATAAGTTATCTGCCAATTTCGGTATTTTTTTGAAAAAGTGTTCCAAATTTTTTTTTAATACTATTTTGACAGAAAACTAATGTCAACAACCAACTTTGATATTAGGCTAATTAAAGTTTTTAAATAAGCAAAAGTAATAATTAACCTAAGACATTTTTTCTAATCGTAATATAAAAGAAAAATCCACATGGATCCAACTTTATAACATACACTGTATAAATCTTGTTTCTTAATCGTTTCCTGACAGATGGAGGCATTTTTCTCTTTATGGGAATTAATTTAATTAGAAAACAATGCAAAAGGTATTCTCACATGAAGCCAGTTTCGTTAAACCTATACCAATTAAGAATATTTGTAGTCTTAAAATATCTGATAATACCGCTAGATATGTAAATATTCAAGTACTACTTTGAGACCTTTTTTTTTTAAATAAAATAACAACTGGTCAAATAAATGAACTCGAATAGACAAATGGAAATTGAAAAGGTATTCGCTCCGTACGTGACAGCAGCGCTAACTAATGCATGAATTTTATGCGTATATATTTTAATATAATTCGTAGTTAAAAAATATATTTAATATGGATTTATAAAACAAGCGAAAACATTCATTAATTAATAAACATATATTTTTGTTACTTCAACTATTAGTAAGGTAAGTGCACCAATCATTGACAGTGTTCCAGTAATTGACACTTGCTCAATTATTCTTCAAAAATAAGAACATTAGACTATATATGAGAAATGTATCTTAAACATGGGTATTTTTAGAATATTTGGCAACCGTGTAGGCTACGTAACAGATGTTAGGTGGCACCACGGTCAGTTACAAAATGGTGAAAAGAGCACGTGCAGTGACAGTGTTTATGTTAAGACATTTCATAAGGTCAATATACCAAATTGAATATATCTACTTCTTATCACTTCATGTTAAATTAATTTAAACTATTCCTGGTGGGTTTTTACTGGTTTTTATGCATGTAAATCCTAAAACCTCATTTTTGTTAAAGTGTCAATAATTGGAACAAACAAAACCAGTATGTTCCAGTTATTGACATACCCTGTTAATCACTGGTCCACCACAAGCAAATACTGATATACACTGTTGTCATACTGTCTAAAAAGTCTGCAATATACCATTTAAATATGAGATCTAACAGTCTTTTGGTTCCAGTCATTGACAGGGGTGTCAATTATTGGTACAAGAAGTGTCAATAACTGGAACACGTTTTTTATTACAGTTATGGCACCTAAAAAAAATTATACAGAGGCTCAGTTGGATGAAGCTCTTGCTGTTATAGCAAGAGGGATGCCAATAGCTACAGCTGCTAAAACTTATTTTGTTCCACGAACAGCGTTACTTTATAAATCAACAGGAAAGCTACCTATACATTGCCGAAAGGGACCAAGTATCATCCTCACAAGCAATGAAGAAACTCTTGTCGAACAGTGGATACTTTCTCTAGCAAAAGTGCACCATCCAGTAGGCAAAGAGCAATTATTAGACAGTGTTCAGTTTATCGTTAAAGAAAGTAAACGACCAAACCCTTTCACTGATTCGAGACCAGGTCGAAAATGGTACGAGTCGTTTTTGAAAAGGCATCCAAATTTAAGCGAACAAAATTTAACACCAGCCCGCGAAAAAGTTACTGAACAACAATTGCGACAATGGTTTCGGGAAGTGAAAGAATACTTGCAGTCAAAAAATTTATTTGTCGCAACGGAGGATCCTTCCAAAGTATTCAACTCTGATGAGTGCTTTTTTTCTTCAACCAAAAGGTGATAAAGTCCTTGCACGAAAAGGGGATAAAAGCGTGTACAATGCTGGAACCAACGACGAGAAAAAAAAATTTAACTGTATTAGTCACCGCCAATGCCGCTGGGACACCAGCTCCTCCCATGGTGGTGTTTAAATATGAACGCATTCCAAGTTATGTAGCTGTCAGTATCAATAAAAGTTGGGGAATAGGCCGTTCCGAAAGTGGATGGATATGTGGAGCAACTTATGTTTATTGACGGTCATGTGTCGCACATGACATTACACCTATCAAAGTTTTGTTCAAAAAACGGAATAGAACTTTTTGCATTGTATCCAAACTCTACACATTTAATTCAACCTATGGATGTGGCTGTATTTAAGCCGCTAAAACAATTTTGGAAAAAATCTGTAAGAGATTGGCACATCGAAAATCACGGAAACATATTGCGAAAAGAAAATTTCCGAAAAGTGTTTGAGGAAGCGTTATCCAAAGTTACAGATTAAACAATTCAACATGGATTTAGGGCATGTGGACTTTCGCCGTTTAATGTAGAAAATATAAAATTTTCAAAAATTTCAAACCCGTCGACAGAAGTTAATCAAACCAGAATAGTAGAAGGGTTGGCAGTTTTGAAAAAATTTATTCCCTCAGAAAAATTAAAAAACTTTCAAACAAATTTTGATACTGCATGGACAGGTAATATGGAAGACGTGTCACTATTTAATGTATGGAACACATTGAAAAAAAAAAAAAATAGAATCCGCTTTAGGTGTTGAACCACTAGAAAACCAAACATAAATAAAAGTGAGAACCAAAATTCTGATATGACCCCATTAAAAATCGTTATACATTCTGATGTCAATATTACACCTCCTACTGTATCACAAAGTGATAGATCTCCTTTAAATTCATTGGAAAATACAACGTCGTTCAATGTATTATATTTAAAGAAACAAGTTCCCACTCCATTTAAAAAGCCTTGTTTTGGCCGGAAGAAGTAAAAAACAAAAACAAAAAAGAATAAAAAGCAAATTCCTTGTGCTATTACGTCAGAAATTTGGCAAAAATACCACATAAAAAAGGATTCTGAGAAAAAGAGAAAACAAGAAGAACAACTAAAACGGGCAGAAGAGAGAAAGCGAAAAAGGGAAGAAAAAAATTATAAATATACAAAACAAGGCTAAGTCAGTAAAGAGGGAAAGTTCTGACAATTCATCCGAAAACGAAGAATGGATAGAAAGTGGAGACAGTATGGATGATGTCAGTATCAATTTAGAAAATGAAGAAGAGAACGAAATACCAATCAAATACGACGGTATCCATGTAGGAAATTTTATTTTAGCGAAATTCTTAGGAGGAAAGAGAAAAACTGTTTTTATAGGTATACCTGTGTGGCTCAGAAGAAATATTCCCGAAACGATATTGAAGTTATATCCCTTAAATCAATAAATGAAACGAATACCTTCAAACTTGTTGATAGTGATATTTCAACAAACAAGATAGAATATTTCATAAAAAAGTTATCCCAACCGGAACTACACAATGTCGGCGACAGAATAAAATATATATTTTCAAAAAATATTGATATTTTTGAAGCCTAAAGCACCCATAAATTTTAATTATTTGTTATTTTTTGTGTTATGAATTTGCTGTTTATTTTTATTTATTTAGTGTATTCAAAATTAAAAGTATAATAAAAAAATGTTCCTTAATTTGTGTCAATAATTGGTGTGTCAATTACTGGTACATGAAAAAAATCAAGTGTCAATGAATGGTACTTCAAAACACTTTTTTTATAATATTTATTTTATGAAAAGCAAAATTATTAGAACTAAAAATACATAACTAATGAACTCAAGAAACCTACAACAAAAAATCGTATATGCTTAAATTTTTTTTGTTACTGGTGAAAATAATTATTTAATACAAATCAGCGTCTAATAGTGTCAATTATTGGTGCAGTTACCTTATAATTAATAAAAAATAATTAAAACAGTGAAAATTAGCTTAATTAATGTAAAAATAAAAAACTGCAAATAAATAATGTTGAATCAAAATTTATTAACAAAAAAATTGTTGTCTCAGACAAATAAATTGTATACAGTGTGTCTACGTAAGTTGGCTACAAATCCAAAACTTTTTTATTATTAATTTTATCAAAAAAATGCATTCTTCATAAAAAATTGTGCATGGTCTGAAACCTAAAATACAACCATCCTATATCAAATGTTATGAGTACATTCTTTTTTGACAAACCTCGTATACGACTCTTAAAAATTGATATCTGATGGTTGTATTTTACGTTTTAGACTATGTACAATTTTTTATGAAGAATACATATTTTTGATAAAACTAATAATAGTAACAATAAAAAAGTTTTCCATATGTAGCCAACTTACGTAGACACTCTGTATATACGAGTATGCGTTGAACGATATAGTTTTGGATATGCATCACACTTCATTTGACTCATATAAAGAAATTCATTATCGCAACAGTGACTTAAAAACAAGTCCTTATAATTCAAACCATATTTGAAGGAAAAATGGTTTTGAACATTGCAAAGTTGTAAGAAAATAAAAATTTATGTAATCATAAATATGTTATAGGAACAAGTAATTTTATTGACGAATGATTATCCTATTTGTTTTTTGAGTTAAGCGCGTTATTGAACATTAATTTAACAGCATTTTAATCGATAAAAATGTTTATTTTTTAGAAAAAATTAATCAAAATGTCTATTTAATAATATATTATTTGAATTAAATTATAATTTATACTTGCCTTAGTATGAAAGAAGAACGCCTATGATTTAAATTCTAAATTCAAACATATAATATAAACTTACCTATTAAACGAAAGATAAAGATTTAGATAATCCAATTTCCTACAAATTTGGCATAGCTTGACCATAATTTTTTTCCAATACTATCATAATTTTATAACTAAATAAAACCTTTTACGAAAAAAATATATAACAATTCAAAACCATAATCGTCAACAAAAAACTAAAATACTATATTACTACATCAACAATATGAATGATCATAAATATTGCGCTTTTGTTACGTTTTTGTAAAATTTATTTGGTAACAATAATTATAATGAAACAAAATGGTCAAGACTCAAAATTTTTATATATCCAAATCGATTAATTATAGAAATATCCTTTTGGAAAACTGAAAAAGTCTCAAGTCACTTGAAATGACGGTATAAAAAAAAAAAACAAACCTTATAGTTGCTACTTTGCATCCAAGGTATGAGCCCGTCTACGAACAGTCCAATGTCCTGGCAATCGATCGGATTGGATGGTTCTGCCAAAAAAGTCAGAAGATCGGTTCCTAGCTGTTGTCGAAATTTCGTGTCTGGTTTCGACAGAAGGATCAAGAACCCATCCAAGTCCCTTGGACGAGTGTAGGCCATTTTTGGCTAAAATTAAAAAAAAAACACGAGTAAGTAATATTGCACAAAAAAGTAAATTTTTATTTTGGTTTATTTTTCAAATTCAAGCAAAAATAATATAGACAGGTATTTTAAATATTAGTTTTATTACCAGACGCCTTAAACTAATATCTGAAGATTTAGTCAAGGTCAAACAACGCCTCGATAAAACGTCACTATTGGGTTATGCTTTCGTATTGGCTTAGTCTGTGTTCTGATTTGTTAGTTGGTTTACTTATAATTAGATCATTTGACATTAAAAACTCAAATTCATGTGGATTAACGGTCTAATATTATTTCTAAAGTAACAGAGCATTTGGGAATGCATCATAATACGAATTGCAGAGTTGTACGCCGAATATAGTATACAAATTTTGGTTGATTTTAAAATTATTAGCATATCGTTTGTCCCAGTTCAAAACTGTAACATCTCAAAAATTTTAGGCTTTGAGATAAGAATGTATTCTTAGCAATAAGAGCATCTATTACAATAATTCAACACTATAATATCTTAAAATATTTATTTATTTTAATAATATATTACAAATTAGTAAAAAAAAATCTTTAAAGTCATTTATCTCAAAATGGCTGATTTGAACTGGGACAGAGATATGTATATGATGTATTTATTTTATTAAAAACGAAAGACGTAACTTAGTCAGTTTTTTTTGGTTGTTAAGAAACATTATATTATATCTAATAATAAAAATACCACAGAAAAATAACATGAACCTTAAAGCAGATCATATTATGCGACAATGGCTTTGAATTATTTTTATTTTTTTTATCACACACGTTTTAAAAAAATAAGCAAGAATTTGATTTTTTTTTTGCAAAACTCAAAAATTTAATCGAACTAAAAAATTATTTATCGTAGCTACTACATAAAAAATACATTGCGTTGGGTCAAGTTTTATCAATAAAATTTCATTTATATAAACATTTATTATTTCATATATATTCAGATAAAAAATAATGTTATTTAATTATAAATATATATATAATATGTATGTTTATAATCAGGTATTTTGTCTTCGAATATTAAAAATAAAAATTAATCTCCATTTCTTGTCAACTAACTTTTCGGCTTCAGAAAAATAAACAGTAAAATTGAAATTATTTATTTACCCTACGTGATATTTTTAAGGATAATACCAGAAGAGGTGAAAAAACAAATTCTCACCTGGCGTGGTATTTGGAAAGTTATTTAACAATATATTTTATTCATTATAATGACACTCCTACAGTTAGGCAAATTGTTAATCTTTTCACTATTTATTATGTACTATTTAGATAACTACAGAAAAATTGTAATTAGGATTAGGTATCTTTAATAATAAAAAAGTTCTTGTTCATAGTTTTTGAACTAATTCAAAATACAAAATACAAATTTACATCTTGATTGACTCTCCATAGCCACAATTCCAGGTTAAAATTTTTTTTGAGGAAACTATTTTGTGGTCGACGGAAAAGTATTGTACATATCTTGTGTAAAAGTGATTTTTTTTATACTCGTACGATTTTCTGTTGGGAAAAATGTCACTTTCCACTCGTAATGTAATAATTATATCAAAAAAATGACAAAAACGGTATCGCCAATTATAAGAGTCACTATATAATATCTAAAGAATGCAAAGCAAGCAAAAAATAAATTACATTCAACAAAATAATAAAATTGCTATTAAAAAAATCATCATTAGCAGCCAAAACATAATAATATTGCATACCTCTCCTTTGTAAACATCTTTTTTCCGAGCATGTTCAACTTTATTACACATTTTTGGCAATAATAAGTTTATTAGTAAAAATAACAATATTCAAAATATACAATATAAAAAATACATAAATAGTACTAGTAAACAAGAGGAAGAAACCACTGAAGTAAGCTTAGCAGCTAAGTTTACTTGTGGGTGGCTATATTATTGCCTAATTATTGGTTAATGTTTTGTATATATCAGAATAAAGTCATAATCGGTAATTAAAGTCTTTTTTAGAGTTTTAGAAAAAGTTTGAATAATCGATATACTTGCATTAACTAACCCATGTTTTATATATTTTGATTTATAATGTCATGCACTATTTGCCTGGCTGACTCAATATCCAAGAACTTAAGGCCACAGTACCACTGTATTTTTCGTAATAAGAAGCAAGGGTTCATCATTTCCGATTGCATTTAAATCCCGCTAAATGTATTAAAATGAATCTTCTACCAGCTTAAAGTATAAGGTTTGGAGAATGAAATCTCCTATTTTTTATTTTTCCTGTTTATACACTGAATTTGATAAAAAATCATAAAAAGTGATTTTAAAACCAGAGCTAAAAAGTAGGAGATTTAATTCTACATATTTTTCCAAGTATCCCGCCAAAATATTTCTAAATTTTATTGCGTATTTTTCAAAGTGGAAATACGATTAACAAATATTTGATAAATTTATTTGTCAAATTAGAGATTTTCTATGAATTCCTGTAATTATGTAGTTCCTCTATTTTTACGATGTCATCATAAAAAACAATGTAGCTACTCAGTTTTAAAGATGGTTTTAATAGGTGAATGATTGTTTAAAGCAGTGGTTCTCAAACTTTTTTTGTGACGGAACCTTTTTGAAACGCGAAATATTTAACGGAGCCCTAAAGGCATTTTAAAAAAAAATGTCCATATCGTCCTCCCTCTTAGTGAGTCTAAAAAAACACAGGCCTCGAACCAGGTCCCTCCCCTTTCCAAAATCATATCCTCTTTCCTCTTAGTAACTTCTAAAAAAAAGTCCTCCGAGCAAAATCATATCCTCCTTCCTCTTAGTGACTCTAAAAAAAAAGGTCCTCAAGCCAAGTCCCTCCCTTTTGTAGCGACAGTACTGCTTTTTTTGTTATGACTATTATTTTCTCCGCGGAGCCCCCACAAAGGCTTCGCGGAGCCCAGGGGATCCGTGGGCCACTTTGAGTAACGCTGGTATAGAGATACCAATTTTTGAATCAGTGATACAGCTGTATGCCGTCTTTTATTGTTTCGTGATTTTCATATATATTTGTCTTGTTTGGTTCCAACTACAAAATTATCGATTTATTTTTCCTGTGTATGAACAAGTGTTGGCCACGTTGCCAGATTATCGATTTATACGATAATTTTCTACGATGTAATTTGAATCCGAATGACCTGGCATCCCTGTATGATACGCACGTAATATTTGCGAACTTGGCTTTCTTCTTCTAAATATTTTATTTTTATTCGCGATTCAAATTAATTTTCGTGCGCCTGTCATTTGTCACCTATAAGTAGGATGTTTGTTTATTTACATGTGTTTGTTTTCGGCGGATTTTGTATTTGTGATTTTTTTAACTGTTTTTAGATAATATTCTCATTGTAATAGTGTTTTTGAGTTTCATTTAGTGGTAATTTAAGTTTATTTATAATATATATTTATCATGTGAATGACTTAATTTGTTGGAAATATTCACCTATTGGTTGCTACAAGAACATCTAGAAATATGTATTTACTAAACCCAGGATATGTTTTATTATGTGGTTCTAAGGACACTTCATGCACCAAACGTTTATTACTGATGAATTTATTTAAAAATCTTACTATTCTTATATTAAAAAGTGAATTGTGTAGTACTTTGTATACATGTAAATGGTAATAAAACCGTCACAAATCAGATTACAGTTTGATTCTAAACAAAGTTTTGCAAAATTTCAATATTGTGAATTTGTAGTATCCATTTATCATAAGAAACAAAATTTTACGACTTGCACTTGGAAAATAATGAATACTTCAGTTTTGATTTTGACATTAACACCATATAGATTGCAATTTGCTGGGGACTTTTTCGCAGATTTCATTTTTAATATAAACACTATCACATACTATAAGAAATAAACAAATTTAAAACTAAAAAGTAAGAAAAAACTCGAATTGTAATTGATACAAATTAAAATGTAAACAAGGAACACGAACGCCAATGTTGCCAAATGATGAACTGATTTTAAAACAAAATTAATAAATTAATTGAAATTAAAAAAAAAAATCAATATAATAAATCGGTTTTTTAAAAAAAATTCTTAAATAAATATAAAGTATGATTACATATTACTAGACACAAATTTTGATTCTTAAATAAAAGGTCTTATCCTTCTTCAAGAGCTAAAATCTGACGACAGCGAAATTTTGCTACTTCTGGCAACACTGAACGATATCCTACTTATAGGGACTTTCTACAAATTTCCTCTTCACGTCGTCAAATAATTTTAATTGACTTCATTCATTTGCTATGTTATATATAGGGTGTGTCAACACGCGAGGTTACAAATGTATACATTTTTTCAATGGAATACCCTGTATTAATTAATTGGTGGCATAACATACAGGGTGTTTCATTTAGAAAATTGAGAAAATCGTAACCATTTCGACACACCCTATATACAATATAGTAAATGAATTAAATTGAAATTATTGTTTGACGATGTGAAAACAATCAAATATGTATAACTACCTGCAGGATGTTTTGCTTTAAAAATGTATAAGTTTGGTCAGACAATCGTTTATGGATCACCCTGTATATTTATGAATAATTGTTAAATATGGTCATACAACTTTTGTATTAATTTTTTTTCGTATTTCCTATTATAAAACTGCTATTGATCAATTACGCAATCATAGGACACCCTGTATATGTGTTACTGACTAACATATTGATATTGTTGGATATGTAATATTATAAGAAATTGTATGTTTAAATAATATACAGGGTGTGGTATTTGAAAAAAAATTAAATAAATTTAGCTTGGAATTAGCCATATTTAAGACTTGTTTTTCAAAACATCTATATATACATATAAAATTGTTTGTCCTGACTGACTGACCTATCAGCGTACAGCCAAAACTACTGAGCCTAGAAAGCTGAAATTTGGAACATAGGTTTATTTTATAACGTAAGCATCCGCTAAGAAAGTGGAAATTTTAAATTTAAAGGGGGAAATGGAAGGAAATGGG